GTCAAGTCTGGCAGGACACCAAGTTCAGAAATCCAGGCTTTGGTAGTTAAAACTCAGCAAACCTTTAGCCAGCAGCTATAGATCCAGTACAGGGATGTTCACTGTCAGAATGGAACAGCAAGCGTTACTATTGCCTAGCTAAACTGTGGACAATTTCAAATTCATGGCAGGCTCAATTCTCATTAAGTTGTCCCTCTGATTCCTTTACTGCCTCTTCTTTCTTGTTACAGCTAGATTCTTTTCACAGGCACAGACTTGATTCTTACTTGCCTCCCTCCGATATTATCTTAACCTGTGTCTGAGGTCACCATGTCTAAGCAACAGTCATTTCTACTATATAATCCATCACACTATCTTCCCAACACTTTATGGCAGGCAACGGGCATATGTCCACAGGGCTTGGCACCTGCCAACTGAACAAAGGTGTGGAACTAAACATTACATTCTACATGCATGAAAAAGGAGCTCAGCAATTATATAATGAAATCATCATGTTCCTTGTTTGAAGGGTATCCAGAAGACAGTGTCAGTATTGGTGAGAGGTCTGGATCTGGGTATGTCTAGGTGATATGATAGCCATCTTTAAATATTTTAAGGTCTGTTACATTAATGGTGAATGACTAATTTTTTTCGCTGTTGCTACAGGATGCAAAACCTGAACAAGTATTTTTATATTGACAAAGCACTAGATCAGTCATTCCTGAGAGACAACGGGACACTCTTCCAAAGGTGCATGGCATGCAAGCATTTTGGTTGGCCAGTTTTGATAAACAGAATTGAAACTGTAGAATAAAGTGAATACTAATTCAAGGTGTCCAATGCTGATGGTCATCAGATCCCAGAATGGTTTTGAGTGATGGCTGTGGAAGCCAAAGACCTTTGACTAAACAAGGTTCTAAGTTGTGAAAATGTCTGGGTCATGTGGAATGTATGCTAGGACATGTGGTCATGTGACCAATTAATTTTGCAGGCATTCACATCCAAGAACTAACAACTTCCTTCTTGTACAGAGGATGAAATATATAGTATCTCCTGTGGTGGAACATTCCACCTGCAGCATTTATTAATTACTTGTATTAAGCTACAATAATAAGTAGGAGAGAGGGAGGGAAAATCTTTCCCATCATTCTAAGATGTTAAAAAAAAAACTGGATATCTGAAAAAAACTCCCATGTACATAACAAGACCCTATAGGGCTGTACTTCAGTAGTATTTTTTTAATTTTATTTTTATCAATTATTTCAATCAATTAACATCTATTTGTAGGTTGGAATACTGGCTTCATTCATTATATTGTATTTGCTCTACTGTGCTAGGAGTTCAAGTTCATCTTGTTTATTTCCCATGCTCAATGCATTAGGGCAGCACCCAATAAAATCAATTTCATCATTTTAAAGCAAGGGAAAAAATTAAAACAGACCAAAAACACATGTAACAATTTAACAAGTTAAAACAAGACATTTTAAAGGCAGTGTCACTGGAGAGAAGGTCCTCTCCAATGTCTTCCCATTGGGAATTGCCCTTTTTGGGAGAGGAAAAAAAGGAAAGTGACATATGTTTGCAAATATTACCAAAATAATACCATGAAACACTTTGAACAATTAAGAGAAGCATTTTATAAATGTTAGCAGTACTAGTGTTCAACCCCATGTTTCTTTAATTCCTGCTTTTCCTCTTTAATGTACTGCTTCCTTCATACGGTTCTTAGATGAATACAGCTCATCTGTTCTTGTTGTTTACTATAGTTTTTTTTAAATGATGATGAGTTTTGAAGTTCTGTCTGCATCAATTGCTAAGTGTGTTAACTGATTTCCATTTAAAATGTGTCAGAAAAACAGGGTGCAGGTTACTCAATCATTTCACTTAGGGGGTATTAAAAACAAGCCAACAATCTGGCATCTCATTTTGTCTGACAGCTTCTCATCGGTAAGCAATGCAAATAAAAAGGAAGATTAAAAAGCTGGCGGTATATCTTTAGTGTCAAAAGCTAATAATATTGTTCAGGCAGCAAGACAATATTCACTTTAAGCTGTTCAACATGTTGTTCCATGCTCCTGTCACTTCATACTGACTTACAACAATTTCCTTGTAGCTGCTGAAATATATTCTAATATATGTGTCCTAGCCTATTTTTACAATGCAACTCACTGCAGTTAGTCACTTTCAATATAATGGCCCAGTTCAGCTGATTTTATAAACCACAGATTCAAATTTAAGGATGAAAAAAAAAAGGCTGGGGGCCAAATTCAATTGTAGAGAAATTCTCAGGGGCCACATTCCAGTGGTGGGGAGACCAAAAATACCAGAGTAGTTTAGCTTAAGGCTTTATTGCCAGTAGCAAAGCATAATGAAATTCTGTTTCAACTTTTTAAAATGGAACCACATCTGTATAAAAGCTGGAAAAACACCAGACCATGGTATTGGGGGGGAGGGTAAACCCCAGAAGGCCAGGCTCAGCCTCAAAGTCTGTTGTTCCCCAGCTCTCTACAATCATTAAGGGATTGTGAAAGATACTATACAAAGCCTCTTGATCACACCATTATAGTGCTATTATTCCACTTTACCACTAAACCCAGCCTTCCTCCTGTGTCTTGAGTGGATTGGTGGAGTTTTTCCTTTGTTTTCTGCTTGTATGATGAATGTTCTATAATGCAAATAGTGATCATGTTAATTTTACAACTGAAGAATAAAGAACCTTCTTTTGAAGAGACTCTGATCTACGGTCTGGTTTCATGAAATGCTGCAAGCTGCAGGGACCTACAGATCCAGAGATGTATGGAGCTGATGAATTTCCAGAGATGTACGGAGCTCCTTAACACTCTCACACCATAATTCAACAAACATCTATGGCAGCCTCCTGTGGAATCCTGGAATTTGCAGTTTGAAGGGTCATTTAGAATACTCAGACAGAGAGTTCTAGTGCTTCAATAAACTACAAACCACAGAATGCCACAGAAGACAGCCATAGCAGTTAAAATGGAATAATAGTGCTGTAACAGTGCAATGTAATAATGAGCAGACCTCCCCCTGTGCTCCTCCTTTGCTTCCTCTTTTGCTTTAGAACAAACCATTAATCACCAAGGGTGTTTGTTCTAACTGTGATATGCAAGTCCAGTCTGTTAACTAACTGTAGTTAGTTTGTTGTTGTTGTTGTTGTTGTTGTTGTTGTTGTGTGCCTTCAAGTCATTTGCACCTTATAGTGACCCTAAGGTGAACCTATTGTGAGGTTTTCTGGGCAAGTTTCTTCAGAGGGGGGTTGAAATTGTCCTCCTCTGAGGCTGAGAGAGTGTGACTTGCCCAAGGTCACCCAGTGGGTTTACATGGCTGAGCTGGGATTTGAACCTTGGTCTCCAGAGTCCAGTGCTCAAACTGCTCTACCACACTGGCTCAATTGTGGTTAGTACAAGACACATTTTCCCACAGTGATTATTAGTTAAGCACTATAGTTTGTTTTAAAATGCAAGTGGGAAGGAGTAAGAATGACTGTATATGTATGGCTGTAGCTTCTGCAGCTTCATTGGTGGTAAATGAAAAAAAAATATCTAAATTGGGGAGGGGAGTGTTTGTTTATCTATTCATTAGCAGCTAGTGGCTTTCATGTTAATGGAGTGGTGAATCCAAAGGGGATTTAATCTGAAGTTTAAAGGAGCTACCCAAGTAATGAACCTTCCTCAGGATAGGGTTCAGGACCTTGGACAGTTCCTTTAAAGTTAAGAAAACAAAGCTGGAAATCAAGGCTACTTACAAGATAAAAGGAAACAGAAGGAAAACACATCTAGATGTAAATGTATCCCCCCCCCAAAAAAAAGGTTTAAAATGCAATTAAACTGTCTAAATTAAAAATCATTTATACTTTCTAAAAAAAAATCAGCATATTAAGAAAAAGTCTTCTTCTTGTAAAACAGTCAGCCCCAGAAAGCCTGCTGGAATAAAAAGATCCTCATCTACTGGTGAAAGAAGAGCAAGGACATATGGAAAAGTTCCAGAGCATGAAAAGAGCCACCAAGAAGGCACTTTCATATCCCTACCAAGCATGCCTGTGAAGATGGAGTCACTGACTTCCCCCAAAGACATCAGAGCTCAGACAGGGTCATATGGGAGGATACAGAGAATCTGGGCCATATAGGGCTTTATTGATCATAACTAACACTTTAATTAGCTAAGTAGACTCTGGGGACCAGAATTGAATTCCCTGCTCAGCCATGAAACCCAATGGGTGACCTTGGGTAAGTCACATTCTCTCAGCCTCAGGGGAAGGCAATGGGATACGTCCCCTGAACAAATCTTTCCAAGAAAACCCTTCAGGGTCCCCATAAGTTAGAAATGCCTAGTATAGCTGTTGTAACAAAGGAATCATGTGCATTCTGTCTCAGTTAATCATCAGGATGCAGATCTCTTGACCAGTTCCTATATGCCTGTTCATTTTAAAAAGTATTAATGGGGGTCACGATTTGCAGCCTTTGGGACTCTATTACATTCTGTATGCTCCCACAACTGTATAAATATGCTTAATAACCTGAGGCTTTAATATTACTCTATATTCTGTCCATGAAAGCTCACACCAAAATATAAATCAGGTAGTCTTAAAGGTGCTCTTTTTTCTCCCCTCCCTTTTTTTATTATATACATTTTCTTTTTTAAAAAGTCATTCTCTACCCAGGTTTCCATGATCAAATAAAATGGGCCAATATCCTTGAGAGTTGGTAAGAGCACAAGATTGGGAGTGGGACAGAAAGATCCTCATTTAACTCTCTCTTTCTCTCTTCATTCATCCTCCTCTCTCCATATCCTCTAACATTTTAAAGAGGAAAGCGTGAACACCATTGGAATTCTCCTATCATCAGAAGCATTGGCCTGTTTCCCCATCTGACTGTTGCACATGGATGAAAGTATTTGGGGTTTTCCCCTTTGTCCTTGTGTTTTTCACTCCCCACAAGCCAATGTAACATGTTGGGTTAAAATGTCGCCAACTAAACTGGTCCAAGGAACCAGATTTAAATGGCCATGTGGTGCAGTGATTTAAGCATTGGACTTTGACTCCAGTGACCAGGGTTTGACTCCTTGGAGAGCCATGGAACCCACTGGGTGACCTTATACAAGTCACACTGT